AAACACTCTCACCGCAGCTAATCAACGATTGAGAAATGTAGGGGACAAGAACACGAGAGAAACAGCCAAGAACAAAAAGTGAAACAACAAATCAACAAACTCCAGAAGAGAAACAGGGATCAGATAAGGTTATTGGCTAAAAATCAACGAGAAGATCCAAAACAAGTACCTGAGGAGATGGAGAAGTAGATTTGGCGCAGCGGAAAGAGGCGAATGATCCTCGAGATTCGTGACCTGAAATGAACAGAAAAAGAACCGAAAAAGGCTGAAAAAGAGGCAACGAAGCAAGAAGAAGAAGCTCAGAGAAGTAGAAAACAAGCTGAAAACCAATTCGTGTGAGTGCTGCTACTGCGTGAAGTGAAGATGCTGCCCATTCAACAAATCTTCTGTCATTGTTAAAGCTTCTGATCTTTGGTTTTTATTTAATTTGTTTATTCCTTTTCCTTCCTTCTTTCATCCTTTTTTTTTTTTTTTTTTTTTTTTTTTTCTTTTGGGATAAAAGTTGGAAAATAAGGGCTTTTTCTCTTTTAAATTTTTCAAGGCATTCATTATTTATTTTTTCTTTCTAATTTCTTCCTTGAATGTGCAGTCCTACTGTATTGTAATGATCCATTTCCGTGATTCCAACACTATGGTTATAATTTATTAGCAAATTCCCCACGCCAACCCAAAAGCCAAACCCCTCAATCATTTGCCCCAAATTCCTCTACCTACGCTTTCTACATAAATTTTTATGTGACAATTTTACTTATTCAAATTCAACATTAAAAAATACAAATATAATTCATTTTGGTAACTTTGTCCGATATTAAAGTATTGGTAAATGGGTAGGCGAAATGCCGACATTGCCCAAAGCAATCATATAATTAGTGGACAATTTTTACATGATTATGGGCAAAAATGGGTTGTTGTTGGTTGAATTTGGACGTTTCCAAGTGGCTTATACGAAAATCTACTGAAATTTTTTACTACTCAAATTCCTAAAATGAGATGAGCTGTGAGCGCCAATATTAATACCAAAAGTTTGGTAGTATAATTATTAGGCGTTTAAGTCATGGTATGGGCCCATTAAATTATTAGCCCATTGGATCCAGTTCAATCCACCAGTCCCCAACATTAAAAGTTTTACATTATTTGCATATTATTTTGGTCTATTTGAAAGAACTTGCTACTTTTGTCCTCGAACACTCGATGTTGGTTGTTGTTTTTGGTTCTACGATTTCTATCAAACTTCCCTTAATATTGATTTTCATTTTAAACTAATGAAAAAATGTTAATACAAATCTCACTCGTGAATGAACTACTTTCAAATCTGGAAACATACCATGCTCTATTTATTGTAGATCGTTCTTACAAATAGAACGAAAGATGACCACACAAGAATATAGGAGAAGCTCGGTGATCCGTAACACTCATTCCCACTCATTCCCTCCCAAATCTAGATAAGGGAGGATATAACAATTTGTCTTACGCTAAAATAATAATAATAATAATTGTTTGTGACATTTTTTTTTTTTTTGTTTCTTTTTTAATATAAATAATTTAATATGTAAGGATATAACATGCATTAAAAAAGCATATAAAAAGCAATTATAAAAATTTAAGTAGTTATTAAGCACAATAAAATTGTTTGTTTTCGCATTATATTTGAATACAATTGTTTTTTAAGTACAACAGATAAAAAAAAATAACAATAAAGATAAAAAAGAAAAAGTTAGATCCAATTATAGACCAAACATATTTAAAATATGGGAAAGTAACATATGAAATGACGTCACTATATTTTATGTTATTTAATTTTATATTTTCCATTTTAAATATTCAAACAAAATGAAACAAGTGGCATCTGTTGAGAGGCGAGGTTTATGCACCGGCAGGCCTTTGTGGTCGGAGAATGAAAGCTTTTTTCGTGGCCGTCTTTGTCGTGTTCGTAAAAAGCCAACGAGCATTTAATTATTTAATGTCAGTTTCCCTCGCCATTTTCACGGTTTCAAGACCTCCCCGAAGCGGGGAGAAAATTTTCTGTTCTATTCCCCCGAAGTAACTAGAAATTCTTTACGCGATCCTATTCCAGATTCTTCGATCTAAATTCCTGAAGTTTTTCTACTTTTTCCCCCCTTTGGGAGCTTGTTGATTTCTTCGCTGTTCTACATTCACTCGGATTTTCTCGCAGATTCTGATTTGATTGAGAAAATCCGAGTTATTGAATCCAATAATGGCGGGTTGTTTTAGTTTCTCTTCCACCTTGGACTCGTGTTATCGGTACTATTTCTCTAGGGCAGGCCTTAAATCCATTACCACCGATTTTGGCGATGGGACGATCATCCACTGTTGGGCGCCCAAAACCAGGAGAGAATCGAAACCTAATTTATTGCTCCTCCATGGATTTGGAGCCAATGCAATGTGGCAATGGAACGAGTTCATATCGCGGTTGATCCGATTCTTCAATGTCTACGTTCCTGACCTACTTTTCTTCGGTAATTCGTATACGACTCGGCTGGAGAGGTCAGTCTCGTTTCAGGCTCTCTGTATGATGCATCTAATGGATTCGTTTGAAGTTCGGACGATGAATGTCGTTGGAATTAGCTACGGTGGCTTCGTAACGTATAGTATGGCTGATCAATTTCCGGAGCGATTGGAGAGATTGGTGCTCTGTTGCGCCGGAGTTTGCTTGGAAGAGAGGGATATGGCGGCCGGGATGTTCGTCGTGAAGAATGTCGATGAGGCCGCCAGTATATTGCTGCCTCAAACTCCGGCGAAGCTCAAGGAACTTCTCCGCCTCACCTTCGTCAAGCCTGCTCGAATTCTGCCCACTTGTATAATGGACGATTTCATCGATGTGAGTGGTTGTGCTTCTGAATTTTTCTTGTTTACTTGTTCTGATTTCGTCTGTTTGTCAAATTGAGGCATCCTTTCAAAAAAAATTCAAGGATATTTTCAACTTGGAATTCATATAATCCAAGTCATAACCAATCATATTTTAAAACAATTATTCTGATCAGCATTGCCGGACTAATCCATGTTGCGAAGAATGATTGCAGTATATTCAAATTTTGAAATGATATTACTCTTGAAATCATCATTTCCATATTAAATAGATTGATCGCATTGCTAATAGAGTTTTGGTTTGTGTTTCTGGTAATAGGTGATGTGCACAGAGTACAAGCAAGAGAAAGAAGAGTTGATTAAAGAAATACTTAAAGACAGGAACCTTTCTACTCTTCCGAAGATCAATAAGGTTCGAAAATTTCTTATATCTAAGTAATTTAAATGCCTTTCTTTGAATTGCTATCCAAATTAGTATATATAGAGAGATTGATGAGAAAAAATAGTGTACTAGTCTATGTATTATGTATATCAATTCTTATCTCATAAGCTGGAGAATTCGAATAAGTTTTTATTTACTTATCAAAGATTTAACATCCAACTCATACCAATGTGATATCAATATAGATAAAAAGAACGTATTTTCAAAAGAATTTCAAGAACATCTTTTTATATGTAGCTAGACATTATAAAAAAATAAGTTGCATCTCTAATTAACTAGAATGTATTGTTCGTTCACTTTTTTTTTTTTTTTCAAACCTCGTTTGGTTATATTCTACTGTTATATCAATGCTTCCTTAAATTTGGGAATGCAGCCTACGCTGATACTATGGGGAGAACAAGATAGAGTATTCCCTTTAGAGTTGGCACACAGATTAAAAAGGTATTTTCAGAAACCTTTTAATCTCTTGAGTTACTGTTTTTGGGGCTTTCAAATTTAGACATGGATGGTTAGAGATTTAAGATATTTTGATTAAGAACAACACTTCTTAACTGGTTTCTTACCCATCATTAATTTGGAGAGTTACTGTTTTTGTTTGGGGTTTTCAAATTTAGAAATGGATGGTTAGAGATTTAAGATATGTTGATTAAGAACAACACTTCTTAATTGGTTTATTACCCATCATTAATTTGGATAAAACCTACCTTTTAACAGGAAAAAATGACCAAAATTTTGATAAGTGAGAGAGAGGAAAATAGTTGGTTTTCAGGTCTTTGTATATTAAATTGTATGAACCAGAACTCTTAATTTGATGAAATTAGTGAGAATTTAATATCATAAGTTGAATACTAAACTTAGGAAGTTTCAGGCACTTGGGGGAAAACGCAGAGTTAGCTGTTGTGAAAGACGCAGGGCATGCGATCAATGCAGAGAAGCCAAAAGAGATGTACAAACACATAAAGGCTTTTCTGGTCACCCGCCCCAACCTTTCTCAGTCAAACTCATCTATTTATAACTTTTGATTCTCATAATTTTATCCCCTACTTATTATACCTCTCCTCCAGGCCCCAAAACTGAGGTGCCTTTAATCTACAGTTACTTAGGTCGGGTTGTCCAGATGACCTGAATTGTGATTAAATCCATAAGTATTATTATTCAGTATGGAAATATTAAAATTCGCCATGTTATTCCAGCTATGAATAAGAAAAATCAATTAAAGAAAGAGTTCACAAGAGTTACAAGTCTTCTCAACCTAGCGGAGAGTGTCAAGACACCAAAGCCTCCTCTCCATATCTCTCCATGCATTATATATATATATATATATTTGTAACAGAAACATGGGTTTTCGGCCGTTTTTCAAGGGATTTTTTTATAGAGAATTTTAACCTAATGAAAATTTAGACTTGGGGGGCCAAGTAAAAGGATTTTCGAACCTCAAGAATGAGAAGGATATCGCCACACCGAACAGGATTTGTCTTCTTACCTTTTCTTACCTTTCCTTATTGACATGTATTTTTATTTATAGCTAATTGGTTGAAGGTGTATTTGTAATGAAATTTATTTATTTAGAGTTTTAATATTTCTAAACATAATGCATAATTATGTTCAATTTTTTCTTACATAAAATGATATGGTATGATATCAAATTTTAAACAAATTTGTAGGGCAATAATCAACCTTAGCTCAGTAGAGTGGAGGACTGTAGTTTGAAGTTTTCAAATAGTCATCCTTGTTTTTTTTTTTTTACAGTGTTATTTTGCTTGGAGCACCTTTTTAAGTGAATTGGGTTCCTCGTCTTTTATTTGATCTCAATGAAAGCTTTAGTTAAAAATAAAATAAATTAAAATAAAGAACATTCCTAACTACCTAAAACAGTCCTAAAACAGAAAATGTAATTTAATTCCTTTCTCTGAACCTTTCCACTTTTAACCTTCATTCTAGTTTAATCATTTACTCTTCAACCAAAAACGTGATATTGATAGAACACAAGTAACATAAAAAATGAAAAACAAAGATTAAATATAGGAATCTAACCTTATTAGGACCATAACATTGCCAATAACGTAATTCTCGTGAGATCTAGGATGCACCTTAGATAGTTTATCATAACAAATAGAAAATTTCTTACGTGTAATGTTGAAAGTAGCAACCAGAGTTGGATTCCTTGACATCAACTTTATTATCACCATCTATATCCTCCATTTCCATCTAAAATTTTCACAACATAATTATGAATCAAAATCTTTTCAATAACAAAGGAAATATGAGCAATTATGTCAAACCAATGAGATATTGGATAATTTGAAACCATTAAAAATGAACATTAACCATTTAAGTTTGATGAGTAAATAAAATGATAAAGAGTTTTGTAAAAGCAATGGCTTACCTTAGTGGGTTGTGTGATGCATCCCTAATTGTTTACAATGAACTTTACATGAACCGACCATTCTGCATGATATGTTTACAATAAACTTTACATGAACCAGACCATTCTGCATGATATTTTCAATGAAAAAAATAATTATGCATTGATCTTCAATTCAAAGAAATTATTAACTTGAACAAAGGAAGTACCTCCAATTTCAACATTTGTGGTCATCAATCTGTATTGAAATATAATATTTAGAGAATATATTATAATAATTAGTTATGAAATATATCTAAGATATTTAGAATCAATTAATATTAGTAGTATATTTTATTTTATTTTTAATATTTAATTATTTATATTTTTCTTATGGATAGGTATTAGTTAGTAGCTTGTATTATATTTAAAGGATATAAACGAGAATACACACATTCGATCCCAATTCTATTTTTCAGTTTTAACCCATAAAGGTTTCACTGATTGAGTTAGGTTTGCCTTCGATACCGAACCCTGACAAATTTTGATATCTAAGACTCTTGATACCATATTAATAATGAGAAATAGAATTAAGATAAAATGTATGTATTCTCATTGATATTCATAATCCTATTCTCATTGATATTCATAATCTTTGAATAGGATACAAGCTACCAATTAATACTTCAAAATAGATAAAATATAAACTAATTAGCAATGAGAATGAGAATAAAATAAAATATACTACTAATCTGATTACAAATATCTGAAATATATTCCATAATTAATTATTATAATATATTCTCCAAATATTATAACTCAACTCCCGTCTCAAAATTTGATTCAGGCACTAGGATATCTCTCATAAGCAAATTTAGACCCAGAAACTCATTCTCAAAAACTCCAATAATTGAAAAACGAAATGAAATCTAACAAATTTCGTCAATCATAAAATATGACTAGTTTGAAAATCTTAACAGTATTTTTTCCGGAATTTAAGTGCGAGCACAAATACATATAACAACAAGATAACCTCAGCCTCAGCTTCAAATATGTTGGCTAGCTTTGAAACTGCCACTCAACTCACCTATGAGGGCCTTAGGACTAATTAGTGCAGAAATGAGAGTAAAACAGTTAAGAATGAGAAATAGAAATAAATCTAGGAAGTGTGTATTCTAATAGTTATTCATAAGCTTAAATAAGAAAATATAAAATAATTAAATATTAAGAATAAAATAAAATATACTCTAAATCAAATCATAAAAGAAGGAATATTAAGATATAATATCTCAGATATATTTTGGGCTCTCTCCAATATTATGAACGTGAACATAGTCTACATTGTTTAAAAGTGGAGAAGAGTACATCTTCCTTGATCTTTTAGATGAATCTAAATGAAAGCTGTGCAAGTTCAGAGAGTGGAGTACTATTGTAAGAAATTTGGACATACTAACATTCAGAGACAAACAAATACTTAAAACTATAACATCACAAAATAGCCCTGCTCCAACAAATAGAGGTGACATCTAAAGCAGCTAAAGCTACAATTTACATCTTCACAGCCAACACAAATAAAAATAAATAAGAAATAAACTTATAAACAACAATTACTTCCTACGACCCCAAAAACTTAAATTCAATTTCACAGCCTTGGGCTTGGAACCATACCAGTATTCCTAGCAGATGCGAAAATCCCACCGGCTGATTTTCTTTTGCCCAAGCAATCACTTCATCAAGAGCATCTGCTTTGTTCTTCCCCTATCTGTTATAAGAGTTCGTCGTCCTCCTCTCTTCTGCCAACATATAAAATTGAATATCAGGTTCAGGTTTGTCCCCTGGTTCCCCACACAGAGAAGAGATAGAAGACGACGGGGAATGAAACGAAGAGTCCAAAGATAATAATCACGTTACCATTGGAACAATGAACCTACTAAAATCACCCTAATCCTCCGTAATCGAAATCACGAAAAATACAAAAGGTCTCGAAAATAGGCAAAAAAAAAAAAAAAAAAAAAGAGAACGATCCTTCGATTAACCTCTGAAGTTCTCCAGTGAAACCCTAAATCGGAACGAAGTTCTCCAATAAACCCCTAAATCCAAATAGCCGAATGTGCCCTTAAAATTTCAAACCCAGAACAGAGTAGTCAAGTCCAAACTACACACAAAATTAACGGCTGAAATCAAGTTACATTACCTCTTTTTTTTCATCACCGGGACGAGGCGAGAATGCCGTTGATGGAGCGCTCTGATTCTAGTGTGAGAATGTGCTGAAGAACGGAGTCTGAGTGCGGGAGAGAGATATTTATAATCCGTGTGAAATAGGCGGGGGCCGAGACAGCTGGCGTCCGAATAAGCGATGGGGGGTAACGGCTACGAAGACCGTTTGACCTTGACCGTGGGTAACCGTCGACGATCGAACGGCTATGGAATTTAATCGATTTATGTTTTTTTTTTTCCTTCTTTAGTTCAATTGATTATTTGATTTCATTTCATTTCTTCCTTAGTTTTAGGGATTTTTCAGATTTTATTTTGACAATATTTTGTTTAATTTTAAAAAGGAAACAAATCATGTACGCCAGACTTTGTAATTTGATTATAAGCTTTTAATATCTCTTTCATAAAATTATAGTTTATTTGCAAACAAATTATTAAAAGAGTCATCGATAGAAAAACAAAAACTTTTTTTCAACTTCATAATTTTGGTCTTGTTTTATAAAATTTCCACACATATTTTCCAATGCAAGATTACAAAAATATATTAAGTCGTGGTTAAATAGTGATTGGAAAATAAATTTTAGAGTGAATGAATTAAAACAAAATTCTTGAAGATATATGGACTAAAATAGATCACATTCATGAACATTTTGAATAAACCAATACGTATTTTGAATAAAAAAATTTGTACTTAAATAAACTTGCACATTTTAATAACAATTCAATAGTTGACTTTAGCTTAGATGGTAGAGTGGAGGACTGTAGTTGAAAAATTCCAAAAAAGACATCTTTAGGTCATCGGTTTGAATTTGGCAAGTTGGACTTGATTATTTATGTATTTTTAAGACAGATATATATGCTTTAAATATTTTAAAATGTGTACCTAAATAAACTTTGCACATTTTGATAATAATAATTTAATACCCGACCTTAGCTCATATGGTAGAGCGGAGGACTGTAGTTGGAAGATTCTAAAATAGTCCTCCTTAGGTCGCTGGTTCGAATTCAGTGGTTCATACTAGATTATTTATGTATTTTTAAGAGATATATATTCCTCTGGCAAGTTGGATTTGATTATTTATGTATTTTTAAGAGATATATATTCCTCTGGCAAGTTGGATTTGATTATTTATGTATTTTTAATTGGATATTTTAAAATTTATATTTATATATTAAAAATTATGTAAATAAACTTGGCACATTTTGATGGTAACAATTCAATAACTTAGTTGAGATGGCTGGTCGGACTTGATTATTACTCAGACTTGATTAATTTTGATGTATTTGTAAGGATAGCTTTCCCATCTTAAATATTTTAATATTAATTTAATTAAAATTTGTATAACAATTTTTCTTTAATAATTTAATACTTTACTCTATATTAACGTGTTTGATATTTTGCAAAACAAATTAATTTATATTGTTTTTAGACTTTTTCTTATACCGGATAATCACTCTTGAAAAAATAAAATAAATTAAAATTTGAACTAAGAACTTTAATTGAAAATAAACTGAGCTATATGTTATATAATTTAAATGAAGTTAATATAAATTAGAAAAATGAGAAATAAAGAAAATAGATAAAAGAACATTATACCGAAATTGAAGAGCAAAAAAAATTATAGATATAAAAATTACCGTTTCCATTAAAAGCAAAAAAAAAAAGGTTTCAAGCCTCGATTCCCGCGTCTCTAAAATTTTAAAATAATAATAATAATAAATTCAATGGCATTAAAATGTAATTTCCGTTGAAGTTCGGTCATCGGGGGAAAATATAGTGCCGGCTTTATAATTAACGATTTATGACAAAACCCTCAATTTTCTGCGTCTCAGGCTTAGTGGTTTCATCCTCTCCCGGTCCTCACGATTTCCCATATTGCTAGGGTTTTATTTTTCGCATCCTTTTCATCTCTCCCTAAATTTTGCCCTTTCTCACGCTATTCTCCCCTTGCTCTCTAACCTTCTTCCTGTCGCTTACTGGTTGCCGGCCGACGTTCTTCACTCGATCCGTTCTTTGGGTAAGTTTTCCTCCTTTATTAATCTCTTATTCTTTCACTTGATTTTCGTGTTTGACTGAAATACGTGTAGATCATAAAGAAAATAATCATGAAATAAGGAATGGGTGATTGGTGGTTTGATGCTACCACGCAGGTCGAGTGTTATTTTCATTTAAAATGCTCATTTTTGTTTACGTTTCTTTTTAGTTTAACAATTCGCCCAACTGTCAAATGATGTTGGGAATTTGCGCAAGGGCTTTGAGTTCATATAAATGTTACTGTGAGCTGTGAAATAATCTTTTAGAAAATCCCTCTGATGACAGTGGAAGGATATTTTGAAATATGTGTCGATCAGCAAGAAAATTATCATCAAATAAGGTATAGTTGATTGGTGGTTTAGTGTTACCAGGCATTAAAACTCTCAATGTGCTTACTCTTTTTTGGTTAATAATTCACGGAACTGCCAAATGATGTTGGGAAATTGCGCAAGGGCTTTGAGTTCATGTAACGTATTACTCTGAGCAGTGAAATAATCTTTTATGAAATCCCCTCTGATGGCAGTAGAAGTTGTTTTTAAATTTAATATGTTCTGTACTAGTTGATTTTGTCTTTAAGTGTGTCTTTGAGTTCAAGCCACATCATTGCTTCATTTTTGTGGTAACCTATCGATTATACAATGGAGATGAGGGCGTGAGGCTTGAATATGAGTATCACTTTGACATTTTGTAATACACCAGAGCTACCATGCATGTCTTTTTCTTTGATGAAGTATCTAACATTATGTTGCTTTATGTTTTTACTGCCATATAACTTGTGCCAACTTGTTTTTTCCAAAAAAAAAAAAGAAAAAGAAAAAAGAAGGCTACAAGCTTCCGATCAGCTCATTTGATCATAAGATTCTTATATACCATATTAGGGGCTAATTGTGTGTCTCGTGTTTGAATTGTGTTTTATAATGATTTAGCCTTATGGATCACAACTTAAGTTGTGGAGACATATTTAGCCATATAGAGTGCATGTATGAAAGTTAGCTGCTCAGTGTCTGATCCAGTTAGTTAATAATAGCGTCTATTTTTGGAGATGTAATTGTTCGTTACTTGTTTGAGTTTTAGATTTTGGCATTACTTTTCTCACCACCAATCAATGAAGCATATAGTCAAGATTTTGACATTATTGATGGCCATATCAGCGTTGTGGATTGGCCTCTTGCAAACATCTATACTACCACATGGTCATGCATGGCTGGTGAGTTAACAGTCATTATGCTCTCAAAGCCATCATATTTATTGTCATCATTTTACTCTCAATAGGATGCTTACTGTACATGTCTTATCACACCAGCTACCCATCTATTTTATTGTCTCCCTGGGATGCTATGGTCTATTGATGGTTGGAGTCGGTCTAATGACATTTCCAACTTGTCCTAGAGAAGGAGTGTTGCTACAACAGGTATTCCCCCCCTTCCTCCTATTCTCACTTCGCACTTTTATATCATACTAGAGTAACTTAGTGAATAAGGCACCAATTACCATCTCAATGATTCAATCCCGCACCCTGCATTGTTGAACTAAATAAGAAGGCTTTCTCTCTTTCTCTGGAATTTTCTTCGAATTTCCATATCAATCAGACTGGAAGATACGTACAAACATCTCATCCTGAGTTCCTTTTGTGTAGGACATTGATGAAGCCAAAGAACACCTTAAGCAAAAAGGGATTGACATAAATTCTAATTGACAGACTTCACCATCCTCTGCCTTCTCTCCTGTTTTATAAGATCTCTATTTGTTTGATCAGGGTGAAGAACACTTCACCCATCTCAAGGGACATTTTTTTTTATTGGATTCTTTATGAAAGGTAGTGAATGTGGATTCATGTATAGAACAAAGTTGTTTCTTTGATAATTTTGTCAGTTGGTAACATAATCTTTCAGTTTTTGACAGAGTTAGCAACTCTCTCTCTTATATATGTTTCCATTTCTTTATACTACAATGTATACTTAGATGACTTTGTGATTGATGTTAATGACCTCAAGTTTGATTGTTTTGAGCTCCCCCNACGGGCGGACAAAATATTCAGTCTAAAAAATGTGCTCTCTTTTCTCATGTTGTATTTTTTTAATTTTTTATTTATATAGTTTATTTAATAGTTCGACCAATTACACTACTTTTAAAAAAATGGGCAAAAACGTACTTAAAATTACTTAAATTAGAAGAATACAACTAGTAAATATAATTTACTTAATAGAATTTTGTGTCTTATATTTGAACTACTGGCTTGTAAAAATCAAGCTTTTGGAGTTTTTATTGTATTGAACTATTTTTTAAATTAAAAAAAAAAAAGTCACAAAGGACAAATACGTTTTTATAATTTTTATTTATTAAAATATATATTTTTCTTTTTTTCTAATTTAGGCCGTTCATATATATTTGAATAGTCATGATACGTATGCTTATAAAAAATACATTTTTTCAATATAATTTCTAAGCAAAGTGGATTGTTGTCCGTTATATATATTATCCTCGCAATTAAATTTACTGGAAAAAAAAAGGCTGTATTTATTGCAAGATAAATTCCAAAAGGGGAAACAAAAAAGAATCCAAGCCAAGCTTCATCAGGCCGTTAGACACTTCAATCCAACGGTTCACATTTGCCTCCCATTCAGAAAATATACGGTCCAAGTTGTAACTGAGCTGATTAATCATTAAACCAATTTGATGGAAAAGCCGTGGAAAATAAAAGTTAAAAAAATACAAAAAAGGAAAGGAAAAAGAAATGTCGACAATTCTCCTCTTATTACTCCAGAAGTCTTAACCTCATCCCTCTTCGCCTGCAACCGTAGAGGCCGCTCTCTGCCTCTTCTGCCCCACGACACTTTTCTCTGACTCTATACATTTCAGAGAGCCGCACCACTCAGATTCCAAGTAGATTCCGAGCAGAAGCTTTGCACTGAACAGGTTTTTCCTCCATTAATTTCCACCCTCGTGCCCTAACTTCTTTTTTCTTTACCACTTCTCCAACAACGCCTTATTCGATTGATTCATGAATTAGCTTCTTGTAGCCTAGTCTTTTGTTTTCTTC